TGATTGATTTGTGCATGTGGAACCATCTCTGCATCATTGGAATAAATCCCACTTGATGATGATATATGATATTTTTAATGTATTTTTGTATTTGATTTGCTAGTATTTTGTTGAGGATTTTTGCATCAATGTTCATCAGTGATATTGGCCCGAAATTTTCTTTTTTTGCATTGTCCTTGTCTGGTTTTGGTATCACAGTAATGGTGGATTCGTACAATGAGTTAGGAAGCTTCCCCGCCTCTTCAACTTTTTTGGAAGAGTTTGTGAAGGATAGGTATTAAGTCGTTTTTGAATGTTTGGTGGAATTCAGCAGGGAAGCCATCTGGTCCTGGATTTTTATTTTTTGGGAGGTTTTTGATTACTGTTTCAATCTCCTTACTGGTGATTGGTCTATTCAAGCTCTCTTTCTTCTTGAGTCAGTTTTGGAAAGTTGTATGATCCTAAGAATTTATCCATTTCTTTTAGATTATCCAATTTGTCGTCATATAGCCTTTCATAGTATTCTCTTATAATCTTTTGTATTTCTGAGGTGTCCATTGTAATTTCTCCTCTTTTCTTTCTGATTTTGTTTATTTGAGACTTCTATCCTTTTTTCCTACTGAGTCTAGCTAAAGGTTTGTCAATTTTGTTTATCTTTTCAAAGAACCAGCTCTTAGTTTCATTGATTTTTTTCAATTGTTTTTTTAGCCTCTATTTCATTTATTTCTGCTGTGATTTTTATTATTTCCTTCCTTCTGCTGATTTGGGGCTTTGTTTGTTGTTCTTTTTCCAGTTATTTTAGATACACTGTTAGATTGTTTATTTGAGAATTTTTTTTTATTTTTTGAGACCAGCCTGTATTTCTATAGACGTCCCTCTTAAAACTGCTATTGCTGTATCCCACACATTTTGGCATGTCATATTTTCATTTTCATTTGTCCCCAGGTATTTTTTTATTTCTCCTGTGATCTCTTCATTGATCCAATCATTGTTCAGTAGCATTTTGTTTGATCTCCACATATTTGTGGCTTCCTATTTTCTTCCTTTATTTGATTTCTAGTTTGATACTGCTATGGTCAGAAAAGATGCTTGGTATTATTTCAGTCTTCTTAAATTTATTAAGACTAGTTTTGTGACCTAATATGTGATCTATTCTGGAGAATGTTCCATGTGCATTTGAAAATAATGTGTGTTCTGCAGTTTTTGGATGGAATGTTCTGTATATATCTACTAAGTCCATCTGGTTTAATGTGTCATTTAAGGCCAGTGCTTCCTTATTAATCTTCTGTTTGGATTATCTATCTGTAGGTGTAAGTGGAGTGTTAAAGTCCCTTACTGTTATTGTGTTACTGTCTACTTCTCCTTTTATGTCTGTTAATAATTGTTTTATATATTTAGGTGTTCCTATGTTGTACATAGATATTTACAAGTATTATATCCTCTTGTCGGATTGTTCCCTTAATCATTATGTAGTGCCCGTCTTTGTCTCTTGTTATAGTTTTTGTTTTAAAGTCTATTTTGTCTGATATAAGTTGCCTCCCCAGCTTTCTTTTCATTTCCATTTTCATGGAATACATTTTTCATCCTTCACTCAGTTTTTGAGTGTCTGATGTGTGTCTCTTGTATGCAGCATATATATGGGTCTTGTTTTTTTTATCCAAGCAGCCACCCTACGCTGTTTGACTACAGTATTTAGTCCATTGACATTTAAAGTAGCTATTGATAAGAATGTACTTATTGGCATTTTGTTGCTTTCTTTTTCCTGGATGTTTTAGTAGTACTTTTCTGTTCCTATCTTCCTCTCTTGCTCTCTTCCCTTATGGTTTGATGGCTTTCTTTAGTATTCTGTTTGTATTGCTTTCTTTTAATTTTTTGTGTATGTATTATAGATTTCTGGTTTGTCATTACCATGAGGTTCATATATGATAACCTACATGCATAGCAATCTATCTTAAGTTGATGGTCTCTTTAGTTTGACCTCTTGCTAAAAGCCCTACTCTTTTACTCCCCTCCTCCAACATTTTATGTTTTTGATATCACATCTAACCTCTTTTTTGTACATGTGTATCTATTACCCACTTATCATGGAAATAGATAATTTTAGTACTTTTGTCTTTCGATCTTCACATTATCTTCATAGGTGGTTGATCTGCTACCTTTATTGTATTTTTGTCTTTACCAGTGATTTTATTGCTGTGTTTTTTTAAATAATTTTCTTATTCCTATTTGTGGTCTTCTCTTTCCCACTTAAATAAGTCCCTTTAGCATTTCTTTTAAGATTGGTTTCTTGGTGATAAACTCTTTTAGTTTTTCTTGTCTGGAAAACTTTTTATCTCTACTTCCATTCTGAATGAAAACCTTGCTGGGTAGAGTATTCTTGGCTGTAGGTTTTTTCCTTTCAGCCCTTTAAATATATCGTGCCACTCCCTTCTAGCCTAGAAGATTTCTGCTGAGAAGACAGCTGATAGCCTCATTGGGTTTTCTTTGTATGTAACTTGTTGCCTTTCTCTTATGGCTTTTAGGATTCTCTCTTTATCTTTAATTCTTGACACTTTAATCATAATGTGTCTTGTTGTGGGCCTCTTTAGGTTTACCTTGTTTGGTGCTCTCTGTGCCTCCTATACCTGGATGTCTCTTTCCTTCCTTAGGTTAGGAAAGTTTTCAGCTATTATGTCTTCAAATAGATTCCTTGCCCCTTTGTCTCTCTCTTCTCCTTCTGGGACACCTATAATATGGACGTTAGTGAAGTTGATCTTGTCCCAGAGGTCCCTCAGACTGTCCCCATTCTTTTTAATTCTTTTTCTTTTATCTGTTCAGCTTGGGTGATTTCCTCTAGTCTTTTGTCCAGCTCGCTGATCCATTCTTCTGTATCATCTACTTTGCTATTGAGCCCCTCTAGTGAATTTTTCATTTCCAGTATGGCATTCTTCATTTCTGATTGATTCTTTTTTATGTTTTCCAATTCTTTACTGAAGTTCTCACTGAGTTCATCCATTCTTCTCCCAAGATCAGTGAGGATCCTTATGCCTTTTTGTTTGAACTCTTAGTCAGGTAGATTGTTTATTTCTGTTTCATTTAGTTCTTTTTCCGAGGTTTTGTCTTGTTCCCTTACTTGGAACATATTCTTTTGCCTCCTCATTTTGCCTCTTTCTCTGTCTAATACATTTTATTCATGTATTAGGTAGGTCAACTACATCTCCTGGTCTTAGAGAGGTGGCTTTATGTAAGAGATGCCTTACGAGGCCCAGCAGTGTACTTCCCTCTCATCATCAGTTCCAAATGTTCCAGAAATGTTTCTTTTCTTTCTGTAGATGTTTTCAATTATGTAAATCTTGGATTTGTTGAAAGAATCTAGTTTTTTAAAAATTTTACAGTATGGTTTTACTTATGTTTTTCCAACTCATTATTTTCTACAACTCAACATAACCAAAACTGAACTCATTATCTTCCTTCCTGCCTCAACTTACTTCTCTTCTTATCTTCTTTTTCAATAGAAATGTCACCACCATCCTCAAGTCACCCAAACTGGATATCTGGGAGCTACCTTGGAGTCCTCCCACTAGTTCATTGGCCTTCTGCCTTCAATGAGTCGATTATTTCTGTAGACACCACATTCTAATGTCAGATCTCTCCTTATCACATCTCTTTTTCATAGTTGTTGTCCTCATTGGTCCTACGTAAATTGAAAGAATTATCTTTAAATCAGTCCCCTTGTCTCCACTTTGAAATTCTGATCAAGCAGGAGAATGTCTAAACTTCTTTACATGCTATGTGAATACATTTGAGTTGTCTATCTACCTTCATTTCCTTCAAGGAAATAATCTCCCCCCAAAACATGCAGTCTTGGGGACTGTCAGTCACAGCGCTCTCACTCCCCATAACATTACAAGCCAGGAGGTGAGAGCTCCATTCCCCAAGGCTCAATGACAGGTTCAAGGATGGGCATATGATAAGAGTACAGTCAGGCATTCTGTCCCAGGACTTTTCTGCTAGAGTTAAGAGAAAAGCTCTCTCTTGCTTTTGGTGAGTCATAGATTAACTTATCAAACTCCCATGTAAGACTTATTTCCTTGAAACTTTCTAGGAGGCCATGTTCAAACAGTGTAAAGACACAGAGCCAGCCAATTATTTTAGTTGTCCTATGAATAGGCATACATTTTTATCCAGTTTGGGACCCAACTCCAATTCTAGAAAGGTAGCCAGGTTAGTGGTGACTTACAATGACTTCTACTTTATAATCAATGTGGTGGTTCCAAAAACTGGAAGCTATTAATTCCAATTTTTAATTTCAACTAGGCTATAAATATCTTCATTTTTCCACACCCCACATTATAGGATTTCCATAGCAATTGTCTATTCTTTTCTTCTTTTTATTGATTAATAATATGCATTAAAAGTATACAAAGTATATAGTTCAATAAATTTTCACAACTGAAAGTAATTTTGCTACTATATATTTTATGCACATAAATAAATTTTTAGATATCTAAGGTCAGGACCATGTTTTCATTTTTCTCAACAACTAGCTCAATCCCAGGCCCAACAGTAACATTCAATGTTGATGTCACTGTCCTTTACCTACCAGACATGGGCATACTGTACCCAAAAGTCATCAGGTAAAAAGGCAGAAAGGCTACTCGAGCATATTCATTTAACAATAATTACATCAACATTTAACAATTATCAGGTGCTTATAAGTACTATTATCATCTCAGTTTTACAGATCGTGAAATTTGTGGAGAGAGATCAAATAGCCAGAAAATTGACGAGCAAGACTTCAAGATAAAACTCAATTTCAAAAAAATAATTTAAGCCATGTATGATAATTACCCTTTTCATTGAGAGTGAGAAAAAACTGTTAAGTTTTTTGTTAACAATCTTTCTTAAGACCAAGAGATAGAATCCACTTTTCTTTAGTTAACGTTAACAGTGATTCAGCCTTGAAGGAGAAGAGCAGTTGAGTGATCTCTAATAGCATTTAAAATTCTGCAAAGAGCACATGCTATAAATTACAGACTTACTTTTTGATTGTAGGCGTCTTTCATTTCTTCCTGCATCCAGATCACCTCTGCAGCACAGGCTTGTTTTCCATGTTATCGCTTGAACGGAATCCCTGGGATCCTTAATTTGGGAGCTCTTCCTGATGTGTGAGATGGTGCCTCTAAGTGGGCAGCCTGCCTCTCATCTCTCAGAATGCCTGTCATTTTATTACAAGACAATGGATGAGAAAGATCGTCCTTGAGACCATTGAGAAAATCCCAAGCAAAAAACCCACAAAATCATATTTATTCAAGTTGCTTAAGATAAAGGAATTCTTCAGATTCCTTCAGAGATGTTAAAAATGATCCAAGACTATTTACTTTGATATGTAGTTTGAAACATTACAGATACTGCTGAGAGATTTCTGGGTGACGCATCTATGTTCTGATTCTGATTTTATTGTAACTATTTCTGTTAAAAAATAAAAAGCAAACAGTAGTCCTTAGGGATTTGGTAGTTGCCTTTCTTTGGTTATGTTTTTATTTAATATAACTAAGATGAAGAAAGAAAATTTTGGTGAGACTTTAAATATAGTTGAAGTGAACAAAATAATATATACGCTAGTTCAATGTGTCTGCCATGTAATGCTGTAGAGAGTGCAGTGGAATCAGCATATCTTGATTCTGGACTAGTAGACACTATTCATGAAGACCGTACATTATGGGTCTGTAGACAAGGAAGATAAGTAGAATAAAAGAATGATTTTGAAGTTCCCTTTTAATCAAAGTTAATGCATCTTTGTAACTTTAAAAGCAAAAATAAGTCTAAGCAATTTAATACATCATCTTTTTAAAGTAAGATTTTTATTTTTTCAGGAGTAAAAAACTGTTGCAGTTGTAAAAGACTATGAGACACAATTTGTATTAGGGAGAAACATAGTCCCAACCTTTAAGAAATTATCTCTTGCTCTTTCTACCCCAAAACAACTCTCTTAATAAATGTCTTTCCAATTAAGCGGTAGCAACCACAGAAGCCATATTCATCTGCATTTGCTTTATTAGCTTGATAATCTGAAGAACAATGAAAGGATGGTAACTCCATTAAGCTGTCAGCCCAAACTACTCTGCACGCACTCCTGTAAATCCTCCCTTTCTTGACTGATCTCCTCTTATTTTCAAATATTAGAGCAGGACCCAGCTGGGCTGACAAGGGTCCCAGAGGCTTATTCTTTGCCTCTGCCTGCCCTGCCTCCTTGCATCCTGCATCCTCACAAACACGTGATACTCCAAATCTCATCTTGCTGGAGTCACAAGTTCACATAGATTGGTTTCTACGCAGTTCCAAATTACAGGTTCCTTTTAAAATATAGCTCTTCCTAATTCATAGTAATTTTAATATTATTACAAATATGCAGTAACATTATTTATCTTTTTAACCCAGCAAACTAGGTAAATGCCCTCATCACACCCAGAATAAAGGTAGTATTTGGTCAGGCAGAGCGTGCTTTCTCATCAGTACAATACTCAGCCTTTAAGGAAAGCAGTAGGTGGATAAAGATGGAGTTGATGACTGTAAGATGGTTCATATCAAAGAAATAATATCAGCTGCTGAATATTCACTATGTTCCATTCACTTATCCCATGTCTATGCTTATCTCATATCTTACCACCTCTGACTTAGGTACCATTATTTTCCCAATATTACAGTTACATAAGGAAACCGAAGCTTATAGAACCTATAAGTGACTCTGCTAGTAGCATGCAGAACCAGGATTTGAACCAAGGCCTTCTTACCTGAGATTTAATTTTAGACCCTCTCACCCAGGAAGCTGTGCATGACAATGGTCCAAAAACACAGAGAAGACCAAACTTGGTCCACCATGAAGCTCTGACCTAGGAAAGAGGAAAATACTGTTTTTTCCCAAAACCTGATGTGTCTATGAGGGTATTACACATGCAATTTGCCTAAACATTATGAAACACAAGAAAAACTAAAAGGCATGGGAAGTGGTACTCCTTTAGGAGTAATAATAATGAAGTAACACCCTTATAGTCCCCCAGTAAAGGCCCTGCCTTGGTTTTCTTTTTAGTTTCTCATATGTGCTCCTGCAGGCATGAAATTGAAAGAAGAGACGTGCATTTCCAAACACCCTCACACCCAACAAACTCAAGTTCCTTATCTGAATTTCCTAGAATGTCTCCTTTTTTCACCTACTTATTTTTATTTTGTTCTTTATTTGGTTCCATTGCATTCTATATCAAAGCAATAGTTTTCAGTCTCCCTTTCAAATCTCTAAATCTTGTTGCCTTTATTCAATTTCTTCTCACTCTGTTCTACTGTTTTCATTTTTATGGCCCATCTTCCTCTCTATTTTCTTCTGTGGCTATGAAAATTATAAACACCCCTACCCTTGTCCCTGTGAATGTTATAAATCCTCCTGCCTACATCATCTTTATTTTTCTGAGTTTCTGTCTGGCAGAACTCAAATAAAATCCATATTTACATAATAGATAACATCTATATAATCTCTTGTGTATATATTTGCCAAAGACATGCAAAGATATATTTGTTAATTGATGGATTTACTTGCGATTGAGATTATAGTGTTTATCCCAGAATATAGATTAATTATATAGATTCAATGACATTTAATTGCACACCTAGCAATGATTTTTTTTAAAAGAATCACTAGAAAATTAATTTCATTAAATGGCAAATATGCAAAAATCACATAATAGTGATAATTATGATTATAATTTGTAATATTATCATTATCGCTTTGGTAATGATAATAAAGATGATAAATCTATGAACTATATATCACTATAATTGTATAACACAAAACATCTTATCTTCCTTAGGTAATGGTAAATAGAATAAGCCTATGATAATGGTTAGACTGTAGTCATGACACTAATACTGTCTTCTGAACAACTCCTACTTAGTGATTTTAAATTTGCTGTATTTCCAAAGGCATTGCCAGATTCCAGTGACTACATAAAGAATATGAAAGAAGAAAAATAGAACAAGTGCTTTTAAAGATTATCAAGCATCAACATAATTTTCTATTGTCAACTTCTGGAAAGCTGAAAAGTAATTCCCATTGTACCCTGTGTCATAGATAATCTAGGTTTACATTTACTTATATAACTACCATTGTCAGGAGGCTCTGTTGTTACTATCTATGATTTATGGAGTGCCAACAGGATTTTAAGACATTGTCCGTATATGTTGAGTCATGCACAATAAAGATAGGACATGAGATGAGACATAAAAACCCAAGAGTAGATGAGAGTATTAAGTCCTTGTTCTCTTTTTTTGTTTGTTTCTATGCTACTTTCTTGGACAACAGAGAAAAAAGTACCACTGTCCTTGATCAAAGGAGGGGAGGAAAAATAAGACAATGTGGCCAAAGTCAGGACATGTCAAAGAAATGGGGAAAACTACCTTAATTCATCTAATTCTAGCTTTAGGAAGAATAAGAAAGGAATATTGTTCTCTTGAGTCCCAGAAAGAAAAAATAAAAAAGGCTAGGAAAGGAATTTGTGAAGTCAAGCTTAATTTAAGAAAATAAATTGAGTAAGAAAATCTAAGATTTACTTTGAAGCTTGGTCAATTGAATTTTACTGGTGCTCTCTTTCAGCAGTAAATTACGTAAATGACATTAAAATACTTAATTCATATTCACTTGCCATTAATTTAGTCAAACAGCTCTGGTAGTTGCCTTTCTCTGGCAAACAGCTCTGCTAACCAGTCTTACGATAAAGACAACTAATAATAAAATAATGATAGAATTGCGAAATACATATTATGGTCCATGTATTATTTTTTAATGTAGAGAAAGCACTAGATATAGACTAAGTCCCAGGATTCTGAAGCCAAACAGTATGGGTTCAAATCCTGGCTCTGTCACTTACTATCTGTGTGATCTTAGGCAATTCACCTAAACTGTGTATATCTCAATTTCTTCATTTTTAAAATATGGATAATAATAGTATCTACCCCATAGGGTTGTTGTAAAGATTAAATTAATTAATAAATGTAAAAATTTAGAACAGTGCCTTCCATATATTAAGCATCATTTAAGTGTTTGCTGTTGTTATTTGGAGGTTCTATTTGAAAAGATATACAATTAATTATGATATTTATTTCTGTTTTTAATAATACTCATAAAACTAGGAAGAGAAAAAAGTGTTCTTGAGATATCAGTTAAGAATGCTTCTGGTGGAAAGTAAGAGAAAACTCTATGAATGGTGGTTTAAGCTATAAAAAACATTTTGTGTTTATTTTACAATTATTTACAAGAAGCAGACAGTCACAGAATTGGGTCAGTGAGCCAAAAATGTAACCCAGGACTTAGGCTCATTCTGGCCTTGTGTTCTGACCATGCTTAGTTGTCAGCTCTTCGTTCTCATGCTGGTTGCTTATGATCAGGAGGGCTGCCACAACTCTAGGCATCAAGACTGGATGTAGTTCCCTAAGGAGAATTGCCAACATCTGCATTCACATATGCACTGACACCTATCCCTTAAGAGGATTCAAATTCTATCCCTCTTAAGACACCAGCAAACTTCCCCTTAACAGAGGAAGTAAGTTACTGGCTCTCCAGCAGCTATGGGGGATGGCTTTTGGGCTAGCCAACTAGCTGTGTCTGTTACTTTGATAAAGACAATCTATCAGAAAGCAACAACAAATGTCACACGTATGGTGAGACACGTATTCTGATTAAACCTCAGAACATGAAAAGTCTGCTTAGGGGCCAGCCTGGTGGTGTAGTGGTTAAGTTCACGTGCTCCACTTCAGCAGCCCCGGGTTTGCGGGTTCCAGTCCCAGGTGCAGACCTACACACTACTCTTCAAGCCATGCTTTGGTGGTGTTCCACACACAAAATAAAGATTGGCACAGATGTTAGCTCAGCGACAAGCTTCCTCACCAAAAAAAAAGAAGAAAGAAAGAAAATATGCTTATTCACAGATATTATTCAGTATTTTTATGGAGGACCGAGCCAATGGCCATAAGCTAAGAAAATCAAAGACAATCAACTAAAAATTTTAGGTGAAATAAAATTAAAATTTAGTTCCTTAGTCTCACTAGCAACGTTTCAAGTGCTCAATGGCCTCACGTGTCTAGTGGCTACCATATTGGACAACACAGGGGGAGAACATTTCCATCATCTCAGAAAGTTTGTTTTGACATTGCTGCACTTTAGTGGGAAAGTTGTCTGTATCTATCAACCCTTAAAACGAGGCTATTTATTGAATGCACAATTGTACTACGGACAATACTCTGTCCTACCAAAATACACAAATGCACAAAAACGTATGTATAAAATTGCAGCATTATTAGCTATACTCAAAAACTAGAAATGATAGGTGTCCATCAACAGAGGGGGAATTTAATAAGTTGGAATATCTTCATAGTATAACATACCAGGCAGATGGTTGAAAGAATGACATAGATCTATATATACTCACATGGAAGGACACTTGTCATACATTATTGAGGGAATCAAGCAAGTTACACATGTACAGTATGATCCCATTTTGACTTTAAATATATTATATGTAAATTTGTATAAAATTGTACACACATATTTGCATATGTTTCAGGACCAGGACTAGGGGGAAGTGAGAGAGGTGCCTACGGAGTAAAGCGTAAGGCACTCACCCTCAGGACGTAACTCCTTAAATTTTACAGCCCAGATGCCTCATGCATGGTACCCTAGTCTTGGCCCTGCTATGTTTGCATGTATACAAAAAAGTCTTTGAGAAGAATCACACATAAGTAAAAGAATATTTTCATTTTAACTCTTTTCACCTCTATATTATTGGATTTTTTTAAGGAAGGACGTGACCTGAAACAAGTCATTTAGCAAGCCCTATGCTAAGGGAACAATGGAGGCCACAACGGCAGTGGAAAACCTGGTTTAGCCTGGGGCCCCTGACGGGGCGGCATGTTAATATTTGAGCTGGCTTTCATGTTCAGTTCCATATAATTTCTGAAGATTTTCATTGATTTTATTAATTCTCTGATCCTTTGAACAGAGGAAATACTACCAGCACTTTTATTTTACAAACAATCCTACTTGCTTCTATTAGTATTTTTTCGTGTAATATTCTCAATGCTTATTAGTAATAGCTCTCCCAGGTCACAGTTTCTGTATAATTACCGTGTAATCAGCTGACTCTTTAACAACACACAAAGTGGTCAATCATTTGCCGGATAATTACAGTAACTCAAGTCACTGGTCTATGTACCAACGATGTTGCTAATCTTGGAATTTCCAACATGAATACGAGTGACTTCAGTCTTTTTCATTCAAAGTCTATTTATATTTTCTTCTGATCAATGTTCATATCCTTTGTTGTTGTGTTTTTTTAAGTTTTTGAGCTTTACATGATTATTTTAAATGAGAATCGATAACCTTATTTTTTCAGGACAGTATATTTACTGTATTCTGTTACCATTAGTAACTAAGCTAACAATCAGTTTAGCCTTGTTTTACTATGTATCCTTTTCACAAAAGATATAGAGTTGGGAGTGTGCCCTATGTTTTATACTGATAATAAATTGACACAATCCCCTTGCTATTTATACATTATCTCCATATGGTGTGAAATAGTTCCATTGTGTTTCGTTGTTTTTCAAAGACAGGACGAATAGCTTCCTCTTCTGCTTTAAAACCTTTCAAAGCTGCCCATAAAAAGCCCAACCTGTAATCTCAGCATGCAGATTCACAATTATAAATAAGTAAATGACTGAAATAAACAACAAAACATATTTCAAAATACAGATTGTCTGGTTTTTATTTTTCCCAAGTGTAATTTTTAAAGACAAACGTAGTGTCCCCGAATTCTCTGCCGTGATGCCCGAATTGTCACAGCAGTCGGTT